CACTCGGCCAGCCCTGTGGGCCCCGAGTTGTCTGACACGGACTCGGTGCAGATGTTCCTGGAGCTGGAAGAGCAGTGCCTGAACGAGGACGAGGGCGGTGGGGCTGTCCCTAGCTGCCTGGAGGTTCAGGTCTCCCCGATGGATTCAGAGGGGCTGGACCTGGATTCAGCCAAACTGGCTGGGGTGGCGGGCGAAGCGTTTCAGCGTGGGGCCCTTTTGGATGTCAGCGCTTCAGATTCTGCCGTTGTGTCGGATCTGGAGGACTTTGATGTCACCTGCAGCTCGCAGGTGCTGAGCACGCTGGAGCCAGCGACAGAGCCCTTCTCGGAAAGGGACACCTCGGCTGTCACCCCGACGGACTCTGATGGAGGGGCCTCACCCAGCCCCATGGCCGCGGCAGGGCCGGGCTCCCCCCGGCCATGCTCTCCAGCACTGGCGGAGGAGGATGCACCTGACCCACTGGTGGACCTAGAGCTCGTGGGTGGCTGCGCGGTGGCCGTGCTGGTGGCTGGTGGGATGCCATCTCCTGAGATGGGTGCACATCCAGCCTCTGGCTTGGAGGGAGCTGGTTACCCCAGCGCTCCGGTGGGGTGGGGTGAAGATAACCAAGACTTGCTGGTCCCCGATGGTGAAGTATCACAGGTCCCTGAGGAGACCTGTCCTGGCCGAATGTCCCCCTGCCAGCCCCCAGCGCCCGACACAGTGGCGGAGGAGCCACACTCCCCCCCCCAGCAAAACGAGGACAGTGTCGAGGGAACAGATCCATCCGGGACCCATCACCTTCTGCCTGGAAGGACAGAGCTCACCAACTGGGATGTCCCAGAACTGGTTTCTGAGGATGAAACCACAGATTTGGGATCAGAGGGTGATGAGGGCCAGGCTCATCCACCAGAAAGTGGGGATGCTCACCACAGTTCTCTGCTGCCTTTCCTTGCCGGCTCTGTATCAGAGCCAGGCTCCGACACTCCGACAACATCCCCAGCACCTGCTGAGGACCTCCCATGGCAAAGGGTTCCCCTGGGCCAGGGCCTGGCTCTGGAAGGGGCTGCCTACACTGAGGGGTCCCCCACAGAGGTGGCTGTTGTGCACGGGGAGGCACCGGCAGCCATCCTGCAGCCGGGTGACCTGGACTTGCTGTTTGCCAGCGGCTGGGAGGACCGACCAGCAGCACAGTGCTGTACCATGGTGCTGAGCGAGGGGGTCCCGTGTGCTGCCAGCCCAGCTGCCGCAGAAGAGCTTCCCAGCACGTCACCCATTGCAGGGCAGCCTGCCCCCGATGCCATCCCATGGGATGTTTTGCTTTCTGCTCCAGCCGACCCGTTGACACTGGGGGATGTGGCTGTCCCAGAGCCCCAGGCTCAGGAGACACCACCAGCCACCGCGGATCCTACCGTGGCTGCTGAGGGACTGTGTGTTGAGCACCCACCTCCAGATGCCACCGCTGCCACCATGCCCTTAGCGGTGGAAGAGCTTCTGGATGCCCCACCACCGTTTGCTGATGTGCCTCTTGCCACTGTGCCACCAGAAGCAGCTGACCCACTGGTCTCCAGTGTCAGGGATCTCGGTGGTGGCCCTGCACCGCTGGCAGTGGAGGGGCCAGTAGTGACCTTGGGGGATACAGGTGACTTCACCAACGTGGTTGTGCCACCCATCCGGGAGCACCTATCCACCGAAGCGCTGGCTTTGGAGGATGACCCCATTGCGAGAGTGCCTGCAGCGGAGGCCGCAGCTTGGGACAGTGCCTCCATGCCACCGGGCGCTGAAGGTCCCCCTCTGCCCTTCCCCCCCCCCCCGGAGAGACCCACCACCCAGCCGCGGGGGTGCCCCTTCCCTGGCACCCAGGGAGGGAGAGGTGCCCATGGGCATGGAGGGACCCTCCGCCACCGCTCTCCTTGCAGAAGGGCCTCCTGCCCCACCAGATGGATTCGTTCCAGATAACGAGGTATTTGTTGCCGAGGCGCTCGCAGGCAGGGTTTCAGGTGCAGAAATTGCTTTATTTTGTTCTCGAGGGGTGGGTGGGAGATGGGACCATGCTCAGGAGCTCATGGCCACGATCTGCGGGGTTCAGGCTTCCAAACAGCCTTCTCCCTCCTGAAGCCAGCTTGAATTTGGCAGGCCAAAAAGTTTGGGGGGGGAATTGTGTGGTTTTAGAAGTAGGGGAGGCAAAAGATTTGTCACTGGTTATCTAAAGTATTGTCTTAAACTTTTTTGGCGTACTGAAATACATTATGGTCGCTCAGACTTAAATGACAGGCTTCAGAAAAGCCTTCTCACCAGATCCTGCTGGGGTGG